GCTTTTAAGGGTAGGCTCGGGGGAGTTTCGGGTTTAGTGGTGTGGGCTGAGACTCAGGAAGTCTCTCAGTTTTGGAGGGATGAAAGGGTTTGGGGGTTGAGGGTTGGGATCGCGTTTAGGGGTTTGGGGATTGGGCATGAAGGAGATGCCACAAGAGCTCTCACGTTTGCGTCGGTTCGTCGCGAGTTGATTTCTTGGATTTCTTGGCTGCTTGCAGTGCGCTCCTTTTTGGGGAGGCCGCAAAGAAGTACGAGTATCAGATCTTAACCGATTTCTGGCCTGAACTCAGACATCACTTGGATGTTAACGGACAGCGGGGCTTTCGAGCTTCAATCAAGGCTGTGTGGTTGAGCCTGAAGCCCTAGTTCCGGAGTCTAAGCCTAAACCCTGGTGATTACAGTAAGCCGCGCCATTCCTTGGTCATGAGGCCTCACTTAAACAAACAATGAGATATGTCGAACTGCATGGCAACCTTGCTGAGAGACCTACTTCCAAGCATCGACCTTTCTCAGGTCTTTAGGTGTGGGGCCTCTCTTCTGCAGGTCCTCATCGAGAAACAACAGCAGCAGAGGAGAGCCGCTGGAGGGCGCGTACCTGATAAACTCTGAAACAGTTTGAGACTGAAAGCTGAAAACTGCCAAAACAGCAATCCATAGGGTTTAGGGTTGACATGGCCCATGTCGGGCCTCATGGTCTTCACGGGCGAAAGTGATAATCATGGGGCGGATCATGCCCTTGAACATCCCAATAACATAATTACTCCGGATTATACACTCGTAATTAAATTCCTTTGCTCAGGTTTTTACTCGAAAATCTCTACTCATAGAGGATTACTCGCAAAAACAAATTCGTAAACTGTTTTACTCCTCGTTTTTACTCGCAAAATTTCTACTCACAGAGGATTACTCCCAAAAAATGTTCGCAAACGTGATTACTCGGGGATTTTAATCGTAAATTTCTACTCATAGAGGATTACTAGCAAAAAAACTCGCAAACGTCTTTACACTGGATTTTTACTCGTAAATTTCTACTCATAGAGGATTACTCGCAAACGTGTTTACTCGCAAAACCTACGGCGGCAATGGGGGTGATGTTCATGTGGATGTTGGTCCTTAGAAACATCCCCTGTATTCTAAACCACCAGGCGACGCGGGCCATGTCAAGTTTAGGGTTTAAGGCTTTAGGATTTGGGTTTCTTTTTTTTGGGGGAGGTTTAGTGTCTTAGGGTTTCAGCCCCGGAGACCCAGCCGAACCGTCAACCCCTCACCAGCCAGGCCCTAAACCCCAGAGGAACAAAGCCCTGGAAACAAGGCAATCAGGCCCCGAAACTTGCCAAATCTGCCCGAATAGCCCATGGTGTGCTCCCAAACTAGTTAGCGCGTGGTTTGGGGTGGTTGGGCAGGGCTTTAAGCTGCAAGGTGCTCCAGCCCATGCAGGTTTAAAGTCAAACCAATGCTTTCATCAGTCTGCGAATTACGGTTTCGTGACGTACTACTGTACACTTCACAACAGCCATGAGAGCGATGTCTCAACGGACTTCAAGAACATTTCTTGAGGCAGGGCTTTTGCTTTTCATTGGACAGCCGACTGAATCGCCAAGGCAGAAAGGACCAGCCGTGATGAACAGCAATACCGTAAAGCAAACCCCACAGTTGTACAGAAGTCAAACGGTTCGCCAAAACTTAAAATCTTCTCCAAGCCCCGTATAGTTAGAGTTTCGCTCAAAATCACAGTATGCTATGACAATGCTAGAACAGTCTTGTAATGAAACAATAGTAATTAAAGCAATACTGAAACTAAATCGTTATAATGATCGTGCTTCTTAGGCCAAACCCATAAGCCCAGGAGCTTTGGCGCGCTCTTCCGCACAGATCGCGTGAGCCTGGAGATGTGGCGTGCTGGGTTGGTGGTTCCTGTACCCTGCAGAGTCCTAAGAAGCGCGATTACTATCGTTCTCGAAAAGTAAAGTGTTACTAGAGTAGTGTCATAGTCATAGTATTATCATAGTATTGCCGCAGTACAAACATCTTGCTTCAGGGCTGTGAAGAGGAGAGCTTCAGTGCTCAGAACGGTGTGCCTGCCCCCGAAGTCGTACTTGGGGGTGCCCCAGCGGATCGGCTTCGCTTTGGGGCCCGCCTGCGCAGCTTTGGGAGACACAGAGTGTCTTCGGGGGATAGGCCGTTGAGGATCTCAGGGGCGGGGCTAGGATTTAGTGCATCTTTAGAGCTGTGGAAGTAACAAGCCTTAGGGTTGGTAAGTTGCACTGCTGGACGTATGAAGAAGGGGTGTACCTTACAGGCAAACCCTTGCAAAACCGGTACAGATCGGTATCTGATTTAAGGCTTCGTCTGCAACTGTATAGCGTCAGGTCGATCTTGGGACAAAGGTTTGAAGAGGTCACAGCAACGGCATGAGAATCCTATGGCATGAGCCGATGTCAGATCACTGGTTTGAAGCTCTGGAGACTTACGTTGTCAGGTTGCAGGTCGGGGGCTCTGGGTTTAGCCATCAGTGGCCTCCCTCACACCTGACACCTCAACCCCCCCCCCCCACCCCTTATCCCAACCCTATACCCAAGCCCTTATAGCCCAAATCCAAGCCAAACTGTCGTATAAACCCAGAGACATGCTTGTCAAGTATAACCGCAACAAGAATAACATGTCTCCGTTCTTTTGTCGTCAGCAGCCCTGGTTCTGCAGCATTCTTGAACATGAGACCTTCTTGTTCTAATCATTTCTGGTTCGTGCAGCATTGGCCCAACAGTGTGGTACAGGCAATGCGGGCATGCGGTCGTTACAAGGTTCGGTGTGCAAACCTTGGTTAGTGTTGCACGGGCGAGCACCGAGAGGTTCCCTGGACGCGGCTGCCGCTGTGGTGCGGCGCATAGTTTGCGCTCACGTCTGGTTCTTTACACGAGATAAGCAGTGTTGGCCACCTTTTGGCATCGAATTGTCTGAATCTCGCCAGTATTTGGATAAAACATGTTGGTGCTCCTGAGGGGAGAAGCATTAGCACAGAAGTCTCAGCAGACGGGGGAAGCCTCGTGGGCGGGTGCACCACTGAATCCGCCGTGTCTCTGGGCAAGCATGTCAGCCGGTCTGCCAAATCCCGAGGGGGAAAGGCTTGGTGTGGTGCCTGTGGCATGTGGGTAGTTGTCAAAATTAGGGTCCCTTTTTGGGTACCCTAATTAGTAGGTGCCGTACTATATAAAGGACCCAAAAAGGCGCCCCATAATTTTGACAACCACCCCCATGTGAATGGGTGGAAAGCTTTCACCGCGACTTGCTGCGGCCGTTCTCCTCCCCCGCAGTCTCGGCTCCTCCTCGCAGTCTCCCGGTGCTCTGCGGATGGACTCCTGCTGGTCTCCTGGTGGTCGCGGTCGTCGCGTCCATCACTATTCGGCAGAAGAGACTTTGAACTTGAGTTCAAGAAGGCTCAATATGATCGTTTGGCACTTGCACCCTGAAGATGATACGGGAGGATCGACCCGAAATCCGAAGGTGCTACAGGCTGCAGGATGCCGAACATGTGGCAAGCGATCCGACAAACCCACAGAATCTTAGGACCAAGTGCCGAGAGACTATGACGCAAGCCTTCAATCCAGAGGTTTAGTAACCCTCCTGCGAAGCGCAACTCGTCAGCAAAAACTACAACTGTAACGCTCATAGCAACCTTTGTGGTCAGTATCCTTCTAGTAAGCTCTATCATTAGATAACTTATTACGATGAAGGTAACCCTTATGGTTAACCCTGGAAAAAGCACTTGAACCCTCGGGCTTAGGGTTTCGGGGCCCCCGGAGGCCCCGAGCATCGGTCCTTCAACACTTTTGGCTGCCCCAGCGTCAGGCGCACCATCGAGCGGACACAGGACGCTGGACTGGGATTAAAGGGTTCCATAAGGGCTCCTTTAAAGGCTTCGGGAAGGGTGCCTTGAAGAGCTCTATTGAGTGCTCTGTTGCGTCGGGTTGCGAGTTTAGGACCCGTTGGGGTATGCGGTTTGGGTATGCCGTGCCCCACCAGCCCACAAGCGATGAGAATGTCATGGCCGAGGCTTTAGGGTGCAAGCGAACACGATTCAGAGTTTCGGGTATTGGTTTCGGGGTTGGAGTTCACAGTTCGGGGTTGAAGAGTTTAGAATGTGGGCGATTGCTGTTCCGGGCCTAGCATGTAGGGTTCAGGGTTTAGGACGCCGAGTCTCTTGTCGAGCACAGCTCTTATACGTGAACCATCGCACGTGCACCATTGCGCAGTATCTTGAAATCTGGAGCCACATGCCAATTGCCCAGGACTTCCGGTCAATCTGCGTGACTGACTGAGATTCGATGGTAGTCCTACCATGGCATGACCGGGACTGCGACCAGCTGGTGAAATATCGGCTCCTTGCACCTAATGCTCGGACTGTTCCCATTCCTACGCTGCCACCACACAAATCACCAGTACCAAGCCTAACACGAGGATGACGCTGGTAGTACGAGGATGAGAAACAAGGACGACTGCTACCGCTGCCACTACAGGCACCGCGACGACCCCATCACCAGCACGAGCACCAGCACGCCAATACAACGACTACACGGATCTTCATTGCAATGCAACCGTCAAGCTGGGTCCTGGAAGAGTGCCGCACAAGCAGCCGCGGCACAATGCTTGCAAGGGGTGGTGTTCATGTGGGGTGCACCGCAACCATTAGGTGGCTTGGAACACACTACGATGCTCGTGCAAGTTCCGGTTTTCCTATGCACTATCGGTTTACGGGCTTCATAGAGGAAGCCCTACGGCTCCTAAAGATCAAAGAGCTGACGATCGAGTCGGCAGAGCCCTGCTCCAAAGCCCAACCGTAAACTCCGAAAACCGAAACGGCCACACCTAATGATTCGTTCTGATGGCGAATCACCAAAGGCGAAACAATAAACACGAAACCAAAGTTAATCTTACACCTTACATTACTGATATTTCACAAAGCGAAACCTTTCGTCGCCCTGTGCGCTGTTTCCGCGGCTTGTCTCAATCGTAGCAGCTGCCTCGACGACTCGCCTGCGAGTTCGAAGGCTGTGAACTCTGGGATTACACTGGGCTCCCCAGCTCCCTCTTTGGTGTGGGCAGTTTTTGAGGAACCTAAGATCCCAAAAAAGGAAATTAAAGTGTCCACTGGGAGCCCCAGTACAAGGGAAACAACCGGACACGACATTGCAAGGAGTCAGCAAAATCACGCTGAAATCTGTCAAGATGGAACTACTCGAGAGCTTCCAGCATTGGGCGCAGAGGGATGCGCTTTTTCCGCAGGATGGGGCTCTTTGGTTCTCAGCTTCCTGGGGGTTTCGGGTTCAGGGTATCTTGGGGTTTATTTTGGGGTTTAAGGCCTGGCTTAGGGTACGGAGTTTTGATCGAGGTTGAAAGGTCCGAATGCCGAAAATCTAGGGTGGAGAGAACATGTCGAAATCCCGTCACTGTTTCGCAGGCGTCCGGGCCCTTTACATTGAGGCCTGTGACAACCGACGGCGACACCGGGATCAAGGTTGAAGTTCCCAAAGAACCAACGACGACTCAACCCAAACGTCAGGTCAGGGGATAGGGTGTTTGAGGGTTTAGCATGAGACTGCGTCAGTATCTTCCCACAAACACTCCAGCAGTGATTTGGAAACAGTAATCCAAGCGCCACATTTCTTTGAATAAGGTTATGGGGTATCTTATGGGGTAGCTTAGCAGCATGAATATGACGAGGAGCCCAAAATATATATCGTGATTATTCAAACCTTTTCGTAAGAAAAATGTATGTTTCGAGCTAGACATCCGAAAACAGCACAAGGAATAATCACAATGTGGGTGTCTGTGCTAAGCAGGAGGCCCGAGACGGGATGCTTTCTTGTATATTTCGGAACATGCAACGTGCATGTTTCGGGAATATGTTTCACAAGACATCATTATCGCGAAGGCTGCATATGTGAATAAGCTGCAAGGGTCAGTTTCAAGATTGGTTTACACACTGTGTCGCGGCAGTGGGATCTCGAGAATCATTGCACCCACATTGAGAAGAAATGCAACAAGTCAGAACAATCAACAGCAACAGCGAAATATGCTCACGGTAAAGCACGAACCAAAAACTCAACAATCGCCTAGTCAGCCAGTAGGCTGAATACTGACACAGCAAACAACAAGACTGACAGGGATAAAACACTTGTGTACAAGATCATCCTAGCAGAATCGTTCCGAAAAAATTTGCTGAACACCCATAAGCGAGCGACACAATGGGGAATTCAAGGAAGGCACTTAACGCTAGACCCGGAAAGCCCTAAACCTTGAATCCTCAAAACCCACAGCTCTAAAGCTTGAATCCCTGTATACACCATAAGCCCTAAACCCTTTCAGCATTAAGCCCCTAAAGCCCCAAACCAAACAGTCTAAACCCCTAAACTCTAAACCCTAAGCCCCTAGCCCGAAACCGTAAACCGTCTCATGGAGAGATGCTCGACCTTGGAAAGCCAGTCGGGCCGCGACGGGTTCGGGGAACCTCTGTCTCACGGGATGGGTTTAAGGTCAGAGTTTTAGGGTGTAGAATTGTAGGGTTTGGGGTTTTGGGTTTGGGCTGTTTAGAGCGTTAGGGCTTTAGGGCTTAGGCTTAGGGTTTAGGGTGTGTGGGTGTAGGGTTTGGAGCTTTTGAGTGTAGGGCTTCCGGGTATTATGTTGCTGAGGTTTAGGCTTTCCAAAGGATCTGCTGTAGGGTTTCCATGGTACTTCTGAGGTTGCAGAATATGCCTCGCACAGGGCCTTAGTCATAGGATAAGGGTCCGAGGATCCCGATGACACCTACTCGGACTGCCAGAAGCACATCTCTAGTAGGAGGTTTGTTCCTTGTGGGGTCCGTTTATAAGGGTGCCGTACTAGTTTGGGGACCTAAACACGGACCCTAACTTGCTGGTACTTCAGTCGCCCCTGCCTAATCGGATTGGCAGAGTACCCCAAGCACTATCTGCGGTGCACAACTCATAACCATGCAAGCTGGAAGCTGGAGTAGATAGCGATTCTAGTTCATTGCTGAGAGCCCGGGTGTGAGATTTAGGGTATCACATGCACCAAGTCCGGAACCAACAGAGACATCCCGCAAAGAGCCCGCCAGCAGTCGTCGCCCACTTCCCCACAGTCTCCACGGCGCTTTCGTGAAAGACAGGCAACTGCCCCACGAAGATCGTAACACGTGGCAATGACGTAGCAAGGATATCTTGCCGTGCATTTTCGAACGACTGTGTGACACCTGATGTAAGGCCCCCCAGAGACCCGGGGCGGAGTCAGAAGACGCTCGCCCCCTACCTCCATCAGCTATTGATGCTTACTACACTCTGCGATGGACTATAGTCCTGATCTTCCCTCCTGCACTACGCCTTTGCGAAACGTAGAAGCCTGGATAACGAGTAATGCTATTGCTGAGGTTCCTTCTTCTAACTATACGCAAATAACTCCTAAAACGTATCCCAAAACACTCTTCTAATTCCTCAGACCCTAGCCGAATTGCGGAGTTTCGATAAATCACGGCAGAAGACTTCGAGGGGCTGCAAGGCATCCGAAGGTAGACCTGCAACCCTGGCGTCTGCAAGCGCTGAAGCCTATACATCGAGGCTCTCAGCCCCAAACCCTTCAGCCTGATGCATGAACCCCGACGCCAACTAAATGCAAGACGAGGAGCCGTGCTGGTCCGAAGGTTTGAAAATAAACCAGACCTCGCCATGGTTTGAACCGGAGACAGCGCATAGCCAACGGCGGCACGGTTTGGGGCTCGTGTCACAGTGTTCACTGTTCAGTGAGGTATGCGTGGTATGTTCGGGGCGACGTTTTTGGCGTCGGAACTTCATGTGACCCGCATAAAGGACTCATGTTTTCAGCACTCAGGTTTTTAGATTTGGGGTCGTCGCCCGAAGCCCCAAAGAAAGGAGCAGCGGAGGAGCGATCCCGAAACCCTACACGCCAAAGCAAGTGTCTGCATGGAAGGCTTTTGAATGCTTTTAAGGTTTAGAGCTCAGGGTTCAGGATAGAGAGTTTGGCACTCCGATCTAATTTCAGGACATATACACAGACCCTCGCGATGACGATGGATAGAGTGTCTGGAGTTGCTTTCAACATTTGGGGTTAACTGTCTGGGGTTCAGCATGTATAGAAGCCAGGGGTTTACAGTTACGCTTGAGAGAAAAGCCCGCCCACGGCTCGACAACTGAAAATCGAGCCAGTAAGGAGTACTTTCGTCACCCTAAGATACCCCTAAACCCCTAAACCTCTGAACCTCTAAACCACTAAACCCCTAAAAGACCTAAACCCCCTAAAGCCTCACAGGATATCCAATACACCTGAGCCCTGCAGAGATGGTCACCTCTGGGGCAAGGAGCAGCTCCAGTTCAAACTCCAACGCAAACTCTGTCACCGCCTGGCAGGGTCCTACTTGGAGGTTCAGGGGTAGTTATGAGTGGGGTTATAAGTCCCCGAATATGGGTTCAAAGTATAGATATCCTACTCTTAACCCTACTTATAACTACCCATGAACCTCCAAGTAAGGTGTTGCCCGACCGAAAGCCTTGAACGGAATTGATTTGGGGTTTACTTACCGTCTTACAGGACCTGATACCAGGTACTAGCCTTCAGGCCTCTACTTCACTCTGATGCAGAAACCTTCTACCACACCCTTTCCTCCTAGCATCCCGAGGAGACCATGATAGAACCTGCACGTCATGACTCGAAACCTAGCTCACTTGGGACAAAGTCTAGACAAAGGTCTGCGGGAACCTTGGATCTCAGATTGAGTTTGAGCGTAAGGGTTCTGGGATCTGCTTGGGGTCGGTATAGGGTTTAGAAGTTTAGGGTTGTTGCTTCGGTAGGGCGCGGTCCGGCACTAAGGTGCCGTCAATCACCGGCTGCCTGGTCTCCGGAGCCTGATAACCCTGAACCACCACAACATAGGGGCCTTAACAATTTGGAATAAGTTGTGGACATAGTATACTTATGTTCTACACCTTTATCATAAGGCAGCCTGAGCCATACCGTTGGTAACTATTCAGGCTTCTACATTGATAACTCCGAACCACCCTAAACCAGATCGGTTGCCTCAACCACTCCCGGAAAGGTCGGGGAGAAGTCGTGGCCGGCCTGGGATCTTTTTTGAGGCTTCAGACTTCATCCTCCTTTCCTTCTAGGGGCGAATAGAGGGTTCTTTTTAGAAACCTCTTTTTGGGGGACTTAGGATTTGATGTTCCCTTGTTTCTCCGGGTGTTCAGTATTCGGGATGAGTGGGTCGTCGGCCGGCTGGGCAGGTGGTCGTCAAACCAGACTTGGAGATCAGTTCACCATTCTAATGAAGAGGAGAAACAGACTCCGTCTGCTGCATGTTCTGTTTGACCTGCAGGTCTACATCGGTGCCAGTACTCTGCCTTCAGATCAGGTCCTTGAAAGCACATCACGGTGCACCTAAATCTCTTAGAACCTTCTCATATGAGCCTAATCCAGAAGCTCTCAAGCGAACTCCGAGAGCAACAGCCGACACCCGCAACCCCGAACGATGCGCACCCCTTCTGCCCCTAAACTAGTAAGAAGAGGGTGCAGGATTTTGTAACAAACCTATAAAGTAAAAGCCAGAAAGTTGGAATATGATTATCCTAAACCCTTTATGGTAAATTATAAGGTATCCTACCCTGAAACCATATTCCAACTTTCTGGAGTTCCCTTTACTAGAAACCCCTTCGGCTCGAACTAAGCAGCTGACCAGGATGCCGTGAGGACGGAGGAGGCGCCAAAACACCTGGCTGCCCGGAGGCCCTAAACTCTAAACCCCAGTCAACCTGTAACCCAAATGACTGTACTATACTATAATTACTACTATAATATACTGAAAACAAAAATACAGTGTAGTATAGTCCGCTACAATATACTATACACTACACTATACTACTATAATATACTGAAAACAAAACTGGAATGTCATGTGATACTACATTCCCGGACAGGCAGTGTGGGTTCGGGATTTTTATAGTGTGGTATGGTATAGTGCAGTATAGTGAAATATAGTGAAATATAGTAAAGTATAGTATAGATAGTAAAATACAGTGTAGTATAGTCCGCTACAATAGCTTAAAGAGGAAAGAGGGTATACCTGCTCCCCCACGCGAGGGTCACTATCGAATGTCCGTAATTGCTTGACGTTGAAGCGACTTCGAGCCAGACAACCCAAATTTTGAAGCCTCTGCACACAAAGGGGCGTCTCATGGTAGCATATCATAGTATAGCGTCAGTATAGTATAGTATAGCATATCCAGGAAACAGAAGGATCTCTGAAGCGCACTGTACATCTGAAGCGTCGGAGCCTGAGCAAAAGCTAGGCCTGTAAGGGACCACTTGCTGTGACCTTCGGGACTCTGAGCAGGAAAAGACTCTAAGACTCTAAAGTTTGAAGACAAGAAACCGGGGGGATGTGCTGTGGCGCTATGTAAGGTTGTGCTCCTACGGTACAGTGCGGTTCGGCCGTATTCAATTACATTCAAGCCTTCCACGGTTTCGGATCAGCTCTAGAGGCGGCCTGCTTTCAGGTAGATGTGAAATATCCGGGTGCCACAAAGCAAGTCGACACTCTGCAGCTCTGCTTCTGCCCTTGTGGACTACCCTCGTAAAGCTCTCAGCCCTATAGCATAATCCCTAGGCCCTAGACCGTAGCTTTAGTTGCCTTGAACACTCATCTTGGACAAGTGCCTTCAGATCCCGCCGCACGCTGCTGTAGCGGTGGTCGCCATCGAGGAAGACAAAGTCAAGATCGCCCCTGGCACATGTGGGCTCGGAGAGAAACCGAAAGAGCCTTAGCCTCAACCCCACACGCTAAACTCCGAAACTCTGATGGAGCTGGAGATCGAAAGCCGGAACCACGGGATCAGATCGCAGCAACACCAGTCTGCGCACCAAAGCAGTGAAACCGGACGGCCAGGGAGAAGGGGCTGTATCTACGAGTCAGCCCAGGGGACGGAATTAGGGTTCAGGGCTTAGGGCCAAGGTGCCGGGTTTCTTGCTACCCACGGGGTCAGCAGTAGAGAGGGCCACTAGAAGTAGTCATATCAACAGCCGTCGTACTTAGCAAACAGGAACCATGGCAGAACTAGCACGGTCACACCACCAATACCAGTCTTGATCAGTAGAAACAGTGATGACTCGATGGCAATCAAGGGTAACACTTGAACTCATACCAAAGTTGCCATAACCATAGTTGCATAGCTACAATACGAGTAGTCGCATGAGTGACAAGAGCCGGATAATTCATAACGGCAACGGCAATATGAACACCAATAGGAACTACCAGAACCGCCGTCACAGAATGCCAAGAACAGCGTTAACATGCCTTGAACCAAAGCCACCGCTGGGAATGAGCATGCCTCAGCCATTGCAGGCTGCCGCTGCTCTGCAGCACAAAGGATGCCCGCTGCCGGAAGCGTTGCGTCGCCCTGCAGGTGGAAGAAGGGACAGAAAACGGGGCAAAGGGGTGGCATGTTGACGCGGTTGCTTCTTGTCGGCCTTCTTTCTGGGGCCGTGTGAGGTGCCATATGGCGCACATGGTGTGTGTAGGGCGTCGGGTCCTGAAGGCAGTCTTACCGCATCGGAACTTGGGAAGCAAGACTGGCGATTCTGGCGATTATCATCATGACTCCACCGGATCTTTGTTCTACAGCCCGCCCCAAACATCTAGTGTTTCCTACTACACACCATAGAAAGCTGTACGGGTGGCCCATGGCAGTCCTTCAATTCAGGATCCTACTGGTCCATCTTATGTTCTGAAACTCCCATCTACCTGGAGAACAATGCAATGCAAGGCGAGGGGTCGTAGTTGTACCCGATGACCCCCTGTGGGCGGATTTCAGGGCTTGCCTGGAATTAGACTGTCTTGGGATTTGGGTCTGGCCGAATGCACGGCGATGTAACGTAGGGCCGTAGCCACTAGATAAACCCAAGAACTCCAGTCCTTAAGCGTAAACCAATGATCTCAAATTAATGCAAAAACGTGCAACATACTCCCACTGACCAGGTAATGCCTGACGCCCTCATCGCTCAATTCCTGACACACTACCTACGCCTTCCTCAAAACCGAAAGACCTAAACCACCCAAGCCGGACAAAGCAGACAATACACTGACTTGGCATGCGCCCTACACCTCACGATCATAAATAGCAATACCCAAACCCAAAACCCGAAACATAAAACACAACACAACTAAGCCCTAAACCTTAAGGCCGTAAACTTAAACCCTTACAATACCTTATTGAGCCCTTAAAGTAGCCTCAAGAAAACCCTAAACAAATGACCCGATCCGCGCCGCGATGCTTCCAGAAACGTTGACTTGGACGAGACGTAGAACTCCTGCTTGTTAGGCAAATAATGACTAGAATCGGGTCTTGGAGTCCATTATGCAATAGTCGTCGTGAGGGACGATAAGAGGATACTAGAACTAAGCATTCCGACCACTGGAAACCCTGAAGATTATGGCATGGAGTTTGAAATTTTGGGATCGGACTGTGGGGCTTTGAGGACTTAGGATGAGGTCAGGGTTGTGGTAGAGCAAGGTAACTACTGGACTGCTAGCCTTCCCTTGAATGGCTGTTCAATCCTACAGCCCTGAACCCCTGAACCCCCAAGCCTAAACCCCAAACCTGCTTGAGTCCTGGCCATGGCTAGACACAACCTGCATCTAGCACATGTGCCTCCGGTACCTGAAGGGTTTAGGCTTCAGGGTTCAGGATTTGGGGTTTTTAGGGTTTAAGCTTTAGGCTAGAGGCCTCAGACCCTCAACTCCATACAAAACCCCTTTTCCGGCGAAATCAGCCCACGAATTCGAAAGCAAAGACATGTTCGCCCACCCTGGAGCAGCAACCCGGACCTTCAGCTCCACCCCACAAGACTGCAATTCAGTGTAGCGGACGGCCAGTGCCACATAAGTTCTGTTGGGGTTGCGTAGGGTTTAATGTCAAGACAGCTACACTAAAGAATGCGAACAGTATCGATCGCAACAAGACGAACAGTATGAATTGAAGCAATGCTGCAATAATCATATGAAGCTTAACAGGAAGGCTACCTCCAGTTGTTGAAACTCCGCCGTGTGGTTCTCCGTGTGCAAATGATACCTGGTTGGGGATCGGGGCGCAAGGTTGAGAGTTGCACGGATTAAGACTGCAATGCTTGCATCTGGGAATTGTGCGCCTTGCGGTGTGCAAGGCATTGGGATCCTGAAACCCCCAAAACCTAAACCCTGTCCCCTCACGAAACCCTGCAGCCTAAATCACGCGAAACTGGTTCCCAACTGAGCCCCAGTCGGGTCGACCAGGAGAATCCTGCGCAAGACCATCCCAGGGAGCTTTGCACTGTACAGGGTGTAGGCCAGGGTGGCATTTCTAGCCTTGGAGGCTCACTTAAAAGCATCAGGCTTTGGCACTATTCTCAGTTTTATCCGGGTCAGGAAATGCTACTCTGCCACAGACTGTAACTAGGAAAGGCATGAACAGGAGAGTAGCATCAGGACTCTTAGAACTCAAGCTTTAAAGACGATTGCCGCCTAGATCTCGATTTGAAATGGAACACGTCGTAGTGATAGGTAGGGCTGTACCTACGTTATTCAGGACAGTAAAGGTACTAAAAGGTTGCCTTACCCCAAGCCGCGCCCCGAACCCTCAACCCTAAAACCCAACCCTACATCTACAGCCCTTACTAACACCCCCAAAACCCTAAACTCCTACACCCTATAAACCCTATAAGCGCAATAAACCCTAACGCCCCTAAGTAAACCCTACCCCTACACACCCCGAGCCGACACCCTATAACCGTACAGCCCAGCCAGCTCTCACCGGACTCCCTTCCCAGAGACTCTTGAGGCCTCAACTGTAAGCCCCGGAGCCCAACACACTAAACCCGGTCTTGGGTTTAGGGCAGGGTTTCGGATTTAGGGCTCCGCGCATTTTGTTCTAGTCGGTTTAGGGTTTAGGGCGTTTTTTGTGCCGGGTTGGAGGGTCTGGGGAGCTATGTGAAATAGATGATTACGCCGCCTCAGGTTCTCGAAGAGGTCCAGCAGCCGACTCGATGTGCCGGCTTTGAAGACGCCCACCTCACTTGCGTCTAAGGCTTAGCGTCTGGTTGAGGACTGGTTCGCAATCCTTGAATCCTCTCCGTAACGTTACGTAATCTCACCCTCCAAACCGCAAACCTTGAGATCGGCGCCTCCGTGTTAACACTGTACGTAATTAGTCTTACTCAAGAACCCTTAGACACAGATAGTGGTTTGATACTTTACGTTACACAAATATATCTTGAGGAACCCGAAGACATGGAGAGTATTGAAGCCTAATACTATACCACAAATACATGCAGGAACCCTGAGACATAGGATTAGTCGACCGCCTCTGCTGCCCGAAGCTCACGGCCCTCTTGGGCCAACATTGAGAGCAGGCCTCGCACTCAGTGAAGTGATTTGGGGATCAGACTTTGGCGATCAGAGGAAGCCTTGGAGTCGTTCAGGCTTTGGTTTGTCTTGCTGGCTGTTGGCCGCGAGTGGAAAAATGACACGGGAATAGAGGTCCTACTGGCTGCTAGACGGACTAAGCTCTCATCGCATCGAAAGTAGCCGGCAAAGTGTACGTGCCGCTCTTTAAACACGGCAACCACTACTCGGGCTTGAGCATTTATGCTGTAGAATTGGGTTTTGAGGGTTATCTGGTCAAGATGGTATTTACATAGGGAATAGAAGGGATGATTACTACTGCTCATTATTCAGGCCCCTTCGTTACGTAATAGGTCGAGGTGGCCGCGAATAGAAGCTAAGGCGCCGAGGTGCGATCAGTATCCTAGTTGAGTTTAGGATGTCTAAACAATCCTCAACAAAAACATTAATACTTCGCAAGCAACCAATGCTTCCCAACTCGACAGCTCAATTCAATCGCTGGCTGAGGGCTCACTCTGTCCCTTTAGCCACGGTTCCGGGCTACGCGGTCGAGGGTCCTTCGGAACCCGTGAAGTCAATAGTGGCCTGCTAAGATGTCGGTCCGATCTCGCCCCAGATGTCGAACAAAAGCCCACTGGAGCCTTCGACGACCGACGTGTCAAGGGTTTGGTGGCTTAGTCTGTTTAGGGTACAGTGTGCACCCTGACAAGCTTCAATATCAAGCCTTGGCTGCTGATGTTCATAGGATGTTGCAGTCTTGGACGCAGTATATGTGACATCTAGGAGGTGGCCATCGCAAAATACCTTATCGCAAACCATAGCAGCATAATGCCGACATCTTCCCCAAATCTCAGTCGATGACCCGCAAGACAGACACGTCTTGAGACCCCTCTTTCCCAAATCACCCTCGCACGGGTATGGTCCTTGGGGGTTAGGGATTATTAGGGGTTTAGGAAGTTTAGGATTTAGGCATTTGGGGCCTGAAGATCCCCAGCACATGGGTCCTCACAGCCCTAGCTATCACGGTGCTGGCTCGGGAAAACTGGGCCTCGGTTTCAGGCCCTGGCACTGAATCCTCCTGGACCCCGTCTGGAATGGGAAACCCAGCTTTGGCCCTCTCTGCAAGTCAGCTGTGTAAACTAGACCTGAGACCCAGGTGAAGCCTTAGGTCCTAAAGAGCTGACAGTTGGGTCCTTGGGGTTATTGTTTCAACTCCGTTGGTATTGGCAGGGAGTATGTGGCTACGAGGTACATGGACCCTTTAGGCAACTATTACCGAGGTCCCAAACCCAAACCGTGAAATCCATAGGGTGGAATTAGACTGCGGCCTGCGCTTCTGGTCGTCTTGGCGACTCAAGTCTCTGAATGCCGCAGCCAAGAGGGACCGAGCCTAACAGGACTGTAGGCCTAGGTCAAGCTTGGACGGAATTAGGGCTTCAAACTTAAGGAGGCTGGGTTAGGGTTCGGTGCTTCAGTATTTTGGGAATCAGGGTTTGAGGAATTTAGGCTTGGGATGTTCAGAAACTAATTAACATCACATACCAGCTTTTAGGCCTCAGGTATGGCCGTGATCTTGGAGTGCTAGACCCTAATCTAACGTTTCATCATGACGAGAACTTGCACAGTGACTACGGCTTCTGCGTTTCGAGCTTCCACCAGAACTGGCATTGCCAGTATCCAAAGCGAAAGGTCAAACTTCCGGTGGCGAAGCTCTGAAGCCTTTCGGGAATGTCGTGTAGGATAACGCGATATCCATGTTCCCACCGCTTCCCTGCATACCTCCCTGACATGCTCACCGACCCAGTCTCGAAACGAACCTGAAACTGCCCGGCATCCTTTTTGACCACCGGCCCAACATCCGTCAAGCCTTGCACCCTAAACCCCCAAAGCCCAAACCTCCAAAGCCCTAAACCCGAAACTCCCCAACCCCAAACCCAAAACCCCACAACTCCTAAACCCATAAATCCCCAGCACCGCCCCCCCCGGCCCGCAAAACAAACACATAAACCCAAAACTCCCAAACCCCAGAAGCCGCAGCTCCAACGAAGGCCTGGAAGAGGCTGTAGACACACTGGAGACCCAGGTCCTCAGAGACCAAACGGAGGAGGGTTTCGTTTCCAGGGATTAAGGGGTTTTAAGGGCTCTTCTAGGGGTTTAGGGTTTAGAGCTTTAGGGTACCAGGGGTTTAGGTCTTATGGGGTTTAGGGGTTGAGGGTTTTTAGGGGTTCTATGAGGTGTCTGAAGAATGCTTTAAGGCGGCTCCCAACAAGGGTGGTGCCTTCCATAAAAATGATACAGGGTTTAAGGCTTCAAACTTGGGGTTTATGGTTCAAGGCAGTTCGAGGTTTTCGGCACTGGATCTTCTTGCACACAGAAGGTGGGTTGACTCACTGAGCAAACTCACAAATGCCGGAACACGGAAGCACTCACTTTGGCTCGGCCAAGCTGTCACCGCTACAGAAAACTACTGCCTGGGCCATAAAAAAAAAACCAACCTCAAGCACATCCTGAGTGCGAAAACACCTCAACCTAAACACCTCAACAACCCTCAGACCGGTTCAACCCAAAAACCCAAAAACCTCAAGACCCTCACACTATGAATCGACACCGCACCGTTCCCCGAATTCTACCCTGAAACCCTGCAAACTCCAAAAAACCCGAAGGTGTTGAGGCTAAACGTTGAACCCAAATCTGGAGACCCTAATCCTGAGGCCCGTAAACCCCCGTTGAACCGATAAACGAGCCTTCAAACAACCTTGAACGAAGCCTGCAGGCCCCAAAGCCCGAAGACGCCAAGGGCCCCCCAAGGATGACTTCCTACTACTACACTACTACTACTACTACTACTACTACTACTACTACTACTACTACTACTACTACTACTGCTACTTCAGAGGAAGTTGAGCTTCGAGGCGCGTAGAAGCTGCCGCACCGGAGATTCGAAAGACTACTCCTCGCTCAAGGACTGCTTTTGGAAAGAGTACACGCACGCAGAGGCACACATACATATCTACATGCATGAATATCTGCATGTGCGCAGCTTATACATATATAGATATTATGTGAATATACATACATACAGGCAGACAGACAGATTCACAGACACACATGCATGCATACATACAGAGAGAGAGAGAGAGATACACCCGCGCAAAAGCTCACGTACTTGCTCATATTGGCAAATCTACATCCGTAGTTTGCATATGGGCGCCTGTCTCGCCGGAGTATTTGTGACTGTTCCGACCCCTATTTTAATCCTGTTGATGCAGGGACTAGGTCAGGGAAGCCTGGCTGACCGACATCATCAAAACATACAACCCTAAACTTTCAGATCCTGTCTCCGAGGAAGCGGGATCTAGGATTTAGAGTTTAGGGTTTAGGATTTCGAGTTCAGGTTTAGGTTTTTGAGTTTAGCGCTTGGGTTGAAAGGTGATCCAGGGTTAGGGTTTAGGGCTTCGGGGCTTCGGGGCTTAGGGTCTGAAATCTAAGGGTGAGGATTACCATAAGCGGACTACACCAAACAGGGCACGAAAAAAACCGAGGCAGAACCAAGTTACTAAGTCCACTGATCCCAAGTTTGAAGTAGTTTGAAGTGGGTCATTGCAAAAAACCGAAATAGTGCACCCGCCAGGCCTGGACACTTCTTTGCAAAACTAAAAATGATGGAATGAATGGTTTAGGCTTGATGCCTGTGACATCTAGATCTTGTCGTTTCTTCGTCTTTGGCTTGACGAGCCCTGTGGTGCCACTTGTCCTTCTTTGTTGAAAGCTCCACAAGTCTTATCGTCGTGCCATGCGGTGCTGGAAAAGGAAAGGCGTCCTGTTCCGGGTGAAGGGCTTGGCTATCCTCTAGAGCCTTACTTGTCAAACCGCGGTTGCAGCTCAATTAGAATTTCGAATGTAAGTGGGGATTCGTACGCTTAGGGACCCTGCAGCGACCAGGCCCTGGCCTCAGGGTGATACACTCCGTCGTCACTGACGGATAGGAGCTCGCCTGACATTGCGTTCAGAAATACAGCGATTACAGACCTGCAGCGTAAACTCGAAGCTGTCCGATCTTTATCTTGTACGGGCCAATGATAACAAAGAAACGATTTCAGCTTCAGCTGCACCCCGGGGTAGGGAAAAGGGGTTCACGGTACAGCTGGGGTTTAGCAGTTTGGGGGTTCAAGGTTTGTGGATGTAAAACCTTAAGCGTGGCGAGGGTGTGGGGTCTCTTACTAATACCCAGGACGCTTCACCGGAGACGCCAAACCCCAAGCACTAAACCCGAAAGATGGCTTAGGCACGCAAACACTGGACAGGGCTTGCTCTGGAGGCTTGTGATGACACAAGCATACAAAAGCAATAGAGGAAACTTCCGACTTTAGATGGGGGAATGCCCACCTGGCGCAGCCAAACGCCCTAAACTGGAACTCCAAACCCTGTATGTCACGCTTCTTCGTTTCATCGCTTGTATAAGGGTTCTTATGTCATCTCCACTCGTGGTGCGGAGCCATGCGCCGACCCTGCGTCGTGGGGGATTCGAAGAAGATCGCTGAGGAACTAGAGTTTTGTTTTTAAACAGCCCAGTCTGGCTACAAGGCTACCAGGACAAGAAGCTCAAACTTTTGTGTGCAATTGTGCAACAGCCAAAACGTGTTGCGAAACAATCATTGTATGAAACAAGAGCTCATGGAGACTTCTGACACATAAGTATATACACATACATAATATATATATATATATATATATAGATATGTGTGTGTGTACATATACACATACATGCATACAGCTTTGTGTATATGCATGGATGTATAAGTATACATAGAGAACATAGAGAGAGAGAGAGAGAGAGAGAGAGAGAGAGAGAGAAACAACTTCGAACAGAGCTCTGGGGTATATCAGAACCTATATCTGCACAGGGACTATACACTATACACAAGCGTATGTTAATATCAATACTTCCATTCCTAGAGTACGTACACTAGAAAGCCCGTAACTTGTGAGTTCAGTGATCCGCAAGGTGGAACCGTGCAGAGCTGATGGTTTAGGGTTCGCGTCGTTCCGGCTTGCAGTAGGGTGAGACATCAGGGCACAGGACCCTACGTATGCCCCGAAAGCTAAAGAAGACTAAAGAAGTGAAAGCTTCAAACCCACAGCTCACATTTTCAAGAGCAGTACCTTCAGCCCAAGTTCTAGAATCGACTACTACGACGACTACTACTACTACTACTAGCACCACCACCACCACCACCACCACCACCACCACCACCACCACTAAAAGCGGGGTGTCGCATCGAAAATCCAGAACTTCATTGAATGCCCCGAGGCCCGCTCACCTGGCTATCCACAGCCGCCACGAGAGCAATAAGAGCCTCAGTGTCGGATTAAGGGTTTAGGGGGTTCAGGGTTTCCGATTTAGGCTGTAGGGCTTCGGCATACGTAGGGTTTTTGAGCTTGAGGCTTACAGTTAAAGTCTATTATCCGGCTGATGATACCGGTTGGGCTGAACGTTTATAAGGCAAGTCGAGTTCAAGCTCTACCGAGACCCATGACACTATCCGAATTATGGCAAGAATGCTACACATGATATGCGATATTGTCCTCGGTCTTTGCTTTAGTTGTGCAGCCTCGGCAAAGGAGTGACACCACAGCCAACACCGGGCAGGACCCTGCAACGGAAGACGTATGACCGTATGGCAGACTCTCCGACCTCGGGGCTTGAGCACTCCCCAAATCTACACCCCCAAAACTTGCCCGAAACCCTATACGCTGTAGCAGGTGAATTATATAAGCGCGCTGCTTTTCTATGTAACCAAGAAGCCCCCGGTAGGTACAGCGCACTAGGCCGGGCAAAGTCCCGAAACCAAGGAGCGGCCGGTGCGCTGCCTCGACAAAGGTGGGCGGTTGCTCCCCGCGCTGTTCGCTGGAGCTCCACGGCGGCCTAATCTTCGGGTTTTTGGTAGGAGTTGAGTCAAGAGCTGATAGAGTTTAGGGGTAAGGGTTTGGGATGCAGGTTTCAAGGTCCAGGTTTTGGGGCTTAAGGGCTCAAGGGCATGCAGGAGGGTCTACTACGGCTTGACATGGGGTCTGCTGCGTTCGTACTATCTACCTGCCTACCTGCCTACCTGCCTGCCTGCCTGTCTGCCTGTCTGCCTGTCTGCCTGTCTGCCTGTCTGCCTGCCTATCTGGGCACCGACCGACCACCGATGTACCGATTTGCCTACATACACACATACTTACTTACTTACTTACTTAATTACTTAGATACTTAATTACTTACTTACTTGCTTATTGACTTACTTACAAACACACTTGTGTACGTACGTAGGTATGTATGTGTGTATGTATGTATGTATGTATGTATGTATGTATGTATGCCTTTATGCGTGTACGTATGTATGTATGCATGTATGTATGTATGCATGTATGTATGTAGGTATGGATACACACATGGCTTTACACATGCACGTACATACCATCCGTCCATCGATCCATCCATCCATCCATCCATCCCTCCGTCCGTCCGTCCGTACACATATATACAACTGTACTTACACATATGTGCGTTTTTATTGTACGTATGTATGCGAGATAATGTAATGCAGTAGAACAAAATGCAATGCATGCCTGTCTGTTCATCTGTCTATCGGTCTATCGGTCAATCTGTCTAGCTGTATATCTGTGTTTCTGTCCATCCGTCTCTCTGTCTGTCGGTCGGTCTGTCATTCGGTCTTTCCGTATGTGTGTATGTATTGTATAAACTGACAATTGTGCGTACATCGTAGGCTTACATATGCCGTAGACACATGAATGAGGCGTGCGGTGCCAAAATTCTAATCATTGAGGCCTCGAGATCCGAGCTCTAAGGCTACACCCTGTAAGAAACAAATACCCCGGAACCCTTCCCTTACTCGGCCTGCAACTGAAACTCTGAACCCACCCGGGCTTCAGGGCCAAACTCTACACCCCAGATATACAGTATACGGCCTCAACCTTTGAAAACAAGGTCTTGGACATATGTAACATAAGTACATAGGGACTATCTGGTGATTGAAACACCTCTACGACAGGGCTTCAGAGATCCCATCGCAAAATCTGCATTCCAAGTCGCTAGATCGAGGGTGTCCCGAATCACAGGAACAAAGCACCTGGGGGTTCGGGCTTTCGAACTGCGAGTGGGCTGGGAGCTTCGGAACATATTTGGGGTTTAGGGATCTGGGGTCTCGGGATTGAGGGTGGCTGGGGCTTGAGGGTTTAAGAATGTCTTGGGGCTTTCAAGAGTGCAGGGTTTTAGGGTCCGGGGTTTCGGGTTTAGGGGCCGTTAGAGCTGTGCGGATTTGCAGGGCCATATGTCTTGGAATAAGCAATCAGTGCCAGCGCGTGACTACTCTCATGTCGCTGGAGCACCCCGGCGCCCAGCATTGGATGCTCAAGCATAGGATCCTAAACCGTATCGTAAGCATTGTGTATACTCATGTGTGCATGTACATCTGTGTACACATACACATACGAATATACAGAGAAACTGGGGGAGAGAGAGTGACCAAGAAAGAGCGAGAGAGAGAGAGAGAGATAGGGACCTACAGGCACGAGCATGTGCTGACGTGTCATGAGCTCCAGGCCTTGCATTCCCTCTGCGAGAACTTGTACAGAAATCAGAAGCCCAAGATCGAGATGTGAAAGTCGGCCCATGGGACCCGCCCAAGACTACCCTCAACCCCTAACCATGCAAACCCCCCTGTAGCCTCGACGACCCTCAAAAACCGGTAAAAGGAGACCTCCGTGGAGCGCTTGAGGACTCGGGCTCCGAGGTCGGAAGGCTTTTTCGCAAGGGTTTTTGCAGAGGCAGGGAGATTGAGATCCCCAAAGGGACCACGATGGGTTAGGGTTTAGGGCTCATGGTCCTGCAGATCACAATACATCGTAAGAAACTAACGATGGATATGCGGGGCCTCAGAAGTGCATGAAACATGAAGATTAAATTTTAAAGAATCAATTCTGTGAGGAAATGTGGGAATTTTAGTCTGCCGTTGGAATGACTGTGTACACACATCTCCTAGCGCGTTTTCAGGGCATCGCCAAAGTCAAGAACGCGAAAGCCAAGAAACATTCGCAGGGCCACATTCTGCTTTGCTTGCGAAGCCCCCATAAGCCCCACCGTGTTCATCAAAGTATGCTGCAATCCTGAAGAAATCCAAAAGCCCTGCAGAGCACAAGTTGAAAACCCAAACCCAGCCCCTTCAAAGACGAGAGAAGCCTGACAGTTCTCGTGGGTTGGAGGATCCAGAAGCCCTTACAGTAGCAGTTAGAATAGGCAAAACCAAACTTGATCTGCCAGATCCCTTGAATATAGGGGCCGTAGTGATGTTAATGGGATTTGGTGTCCATTACAGTAGTCATAATGGGGACTAGAAGCTACGAGTTTTCAGACCCCACTTTCACAACCCCAAACCCCAAAACCCTAAACCCTTGTACTAAACCCCCCAAACCCCCGAACCTGTGCCGGTCCGAGCGGCGGCAGCAGACCAGCGCAGCGACCAGAGTTCAGAGAGCACGACTGAGCCAAGGCCTTAGGCGTATAAAAAGGCTTCATCATTCATTCGATCAGAATAGGGTTAGTTTGAAGTTCAGGGCTTAGGATAGCTCAAGGGCCGTAAAAAGCTCGAATAAGGCTTCTTTATGAAAGGGCTACGTTGAGGGATCTTCTATGGATCACTACAGGAGTCCTCAATGCTTCTGACAGGATCCCGTTTAAAAAAATCCTTCAAGGGTTTTACAAGGGCTGGGGGGTGGGGGGGCTGAGGCTTCGTTTGGACAAGGAAGCAGCTCGGGGCGTCAGGGAGCAGTCCGACGGCTTAGCCTTGGGAATCTCTATTGAGGTTAAGGGTGTAAGGGGTTATAGAGGTTTGGGCTAAGGATGCCTTAAACCATAAAATCCGTAAAACCCTAAACGGGTGCGGAGCCTTACGACAGAGGAGAGGAAGGCTACGATGAAGCAACCACGCCGCATGAGAACAAGCTCAGTATTCGTAACATAGTTTCAGCAACAGTATGATTGTCGTAGCCGGCGGACTTTGAACAGTAGTGGGTGTAGAACCTGAGGTGAGGGCAGGGTAAAGACTGCATCCAAAGAGATGGAAAACCTACATGAAGACTGAGACGCTGAGATGATCCAGCCCCACGTACAAGACGACCGTCTAGCTTATGGGATGGTATGTGACCATCATCTATATATATATATACATGCATACATATAAAGACGTTGAAAGCTGACTCCACCTGAACACCTGCCACCCGCAGTTATTTCAGAACATACACCCTATGAACATCCCGCTGCGGACACTGCCTGCAGCAATGCGAGCGCCGCATTGGTAAATCGAGCCTGAGCCGACAGCCACGACCAGGAATGTGAATCTGTCTGTTTCCGTCGACGGCGACTGCAACTGCCAGATTCTGCTGCTGCTATTGCTGCTGCTACTACGACTACGGCTGGCTACGACTACGCCTACGGCCTACGACTACGCCTACGCCTGCGCCTCTACCTACACTTGCGCCTACGCGCCTACACCTGCGCCTCTCCTGCTCCTCCTGCTGCTGCGACTGCTACGAGTTCTAACACTTGTACTGCTGCACTGCGACTAGCCTACCGCATTGGCCATGTTGGCACAAGATGCCCTGGGAGTTTGCAGGTTCAATCGCTTGTTTTTGCATCTGATGCAGGCATTTCGCTTTCAGAGCCCTTGCCTTCGTGAGGCCGCACATGACATCAACCCCTAGAGCTCATAGGGTTTGGTGTTAAAGGTGTGACTTGTAATGGTTGTGTTGCAGCTTGCGTCCTCCATGCTGCTTTCCATGTTACAGCACTTTGGGACACATGTTCTTGCGGCTAAACCCTGAACCCCACACTGGTTGCCACTATGCGAGGACCCACCAAGCCTGTCCGTGTGTCCAACCAAGTGAGTTTCCAGGAGCTCCCCTCACTGGTTCCGTTTGAAATCCTTTCGATTTTGAGTGAAGTCGACATTCCACCATGATACTGATACTGCTTAAATGTGCAAGGATTTCGGGCTTGGCATTAAGTGGCCAGGGTCTAACATTGAGCACCTGGCGATTGAACAAAAACAACTGTTCAGAGAGTGGGTCCGGGTGCTGGGTCTAAGGCCTAGCTTAACCCTTCCAAAAACTTGCGGCTTGGTCAAAGCTTTAAATCTAACGGCCCACCTAAGCCCTATGCCATAAAGCACGTCACAATGTAGGGCCATTAATTTGCAGAAGACTGTTCTGTCATATACTAGACTACAGACTACAGAATTTGATGTTTGGGAAGCTCAGGAACAGTATTACCAATTATTCAAGCCCCCGTAGCGCAGCTTTTCCGAACTTATCGACACATTGGCCCAAATCTTTTGGAACCCTACCTGGACGCCCTGTAAGCCCAAAGCAGTGAAACCCTACACCCTAAATCGTTCTACACGAGCTTCTCGTTTTTCCGCTCTTCCGGCCGGTGTTGGGGCTCAAGGATACAAGGGGTACGGGATTCGCTTCCGGGGTCGGAAGCCCCGGACAGGGGCGCTAGTACTTCCTGATTCAGGAAAAACGCACGCATTCCTATCACTCGAGCTACAAAAGCGGAAGCACAAGATGCAATTTAAGCTTCAGCGCGACGTGTTCAAGGTCAAGTTCAAGGCTCCCAAGTAACAGCCAAACATTGAAGCTTTGTCAACTAAGTGGCTGCCAAGGCTGCGATGCCGGCCACAAAAGCCTCGGACCATGCTCCCAAGCATGACAAGAAGACTGCAAGTTGTCTTGCATCAGAAGCCCTACTCAAGCTCACAACGCCCACCACCACCACCATCATCATTCTTCTTCGTTTACAACCGCACCGCGAGGCAAGACCGTCGCCATCATCATTGCTGCCATCATGAAAGTCATCCCTGAGCTCCAGAAGCTTATAAACCCAGACATGGAAAACGCCTGCAAACCCCACACACACACAGACACACGCACGCAAAACAAGCACTGCAGATCCCTTTCCCGGGCTGCTGGCTTCATGCTGCAAGGCGGCATACGGCCTCGACTTGACGGCTGGTTCCACGATTCTGTGGCTTCTGGGTTCACACTTTCGAGGTTTACGGGCTTTGGATTTACGTTTTGGGACTGTTCTTAGTGTGGGTTTCGGGTTTCGGCCTTCTCTAAATTTACCAATTCTCCGTTCCGGCATTCGGGGTTTGGCGCTCATGTGGTTCAACTCTCGTAAGAAACGCACTTCATTTAAGGTAACAGAAGGCATCATGCCGCCAAAGCTTTCAAAAAGCGAGGGGTTCAGAGTTTTGGTAATCTCTTGCGGTTTTGGTTGAACCCCTTGTCGGAACCTTTTGGCTGGAGCACAAAGTCTAAACAGTCCAGGGTGGGCCCTTCCTACCGCAGTTGCAGTCCGACCGTCCTGGGGTTCCCCGGAGTGCCAGTGCTTGATACTGGAGCTTCCAACAGCCAGAGTACTATGGTTTTGAGGCATATGCGGTCATGAATACCATAGGAAGCCTAAGGACCAGTATCGGCTTTCGTTTAAGCTCCTCAATTCGTCTGTCATAGGTCTATCAATCAATGTGCTTGAACATACTTGAGACTGCAGCCTAAGTCCCCAAACCCAAAACCCCTCAATCTCCGCGACAAATAGCTATTCTTTGCAGAACCCGGTTGACCAAGGCCCCGAAACGCATCTGCAAGTCAGCCTTTACCCTTAGAGCCTTAGATCCTGAACCTCCTTCGAAACGATCATGCTGGGAAGAGCTCTATAACAGAGGACCCTCTGCGACGCATTCCCCAGCCATCAACGAGAAACACCGAATCCTAAGTATACTAAATCCCGAACCGTCCCCAAACTCAACACCCTGAACACAAAATCCGAACATGAGTCATCGACTCTCCTGGCATGTGGAGTCATTGTTAAAATATGATCAGGGGCTAAGAAAGCTGATGAACCAGAACCGGACAAGGACTCTACCAACCAGATGTTTCATCTATCAAGGTCCCAGGGCGTCTGTCCTCTTCGGTTCTTAGTAGGGAATGGGGGCATGGGTTGTAGGGACTACTCCAAGGGACCTGAAGGGACTATCGTCCGGATCCATCCCCCATTCCCTACTACTTGGAGCTTCATGGGTAGTTATACGTCATAAGTAGAGTAGCGAAACTAATAATCCGTATTAAGGGACTTCTCAACCCACTTATAACTACCCATGAACCTCCAAGTAAGAGACAGAGAGTTTTCTTCCGAGCAGCTTGCTTTGGGGGATGCAACTAGGGATTCTGGTCTGGAGGCGGCAGGGTCGAGGCTGAAATGCGTACAGGCTCCTATCAAGATATGTTGAAGCTGAAAAAAGGGTTCATACGGTATGGAGATGTTGAAAAAAGCTCAGTTAAATATACATATATACATCTATTTTGTATATGTATATATATATATATACATATACATACCTTTAACCATATCCCTGCAGCCCGGCTACTGAACCTCAGACGCGGAAGCTCTTCAAGCCTCCCTGAATGTCCCCAAGCTTCTACCCGTTTAGGGTTCAAGTTTCAGGGTTTAGGGATAAGGCAAGAGTCTCCAGCGTCGTCGCATTGAGGGCCGTTGCGACATGGCCCAATGACATGGAGTGCAGCCCCTCCATTGGGGCTTTACCGGGCTTCCCTTGCAAATTGCTCTTCTGACCGTGACTGCAACAGGTCCTCACAATCCTATTGCAGTACTAGCCATGGTGCAAGATGACTTTGCTGGTGCGCCCGGTGCAGGCTGCCCAAGGCTTCTTAAGGCATGATGACATCAAGTACCAGGCTCCCAGCCCCCTAAACCCTAAAGCAGAAAAGGTTTGAGAGTTATTTCGGGTTGCAGACTTCGGCTGCCAGCTCATATCTGGCTGACCATTGCGGAGTCCTAAGACCAAACCGACACTGCGGCAGGATGATATACGGGTGTCAACAACGAGAAAAGGGTGTTGGGGTACAATAGGAACCCTCAGACATAGGAGTACTGATTGCTCATGCATGGGTATTGAAATCATGTGGGGGCGTGCGCTGCTCAATGTGGCTGAGGACGACATCTTGAAGTTTATGGTCTCGAGCTTTGGGACCCTGAAGCTTAAGATTGAGGAGAATGTGGCGTGGGGTTCAGATTTATGTTGCTTTCTTGAAGGTTTCAATTGCTAGCAAATCTAGAGTCCAGTGCTCCAGGTTCGGAGGAGGGGGGGAGGCTACTTAGCCAGTTGCCCTCAGAAACCCATCGCAATGATGGGTTGCTATGCAACGGTCATATAGAAACAATGACTTACTAATGAGGTAACCTGAGGTACTTGACCTTCTGGTGCCATGAAGATTGTCTCTCTAGCGCCAGTGCACCCAGACCAAACGGCCGAGACAAAAGCAAGCATCACAACCCCCGCACCCGAAGAAACTATGCGCCGAAAGCACCCCAGCGGCCCTAACTCCCCAAAACCTTAAAATGTTGCAAACCTCTTTCCCATAAACCCCTAAAGGGCAAATTCAGAACCCTAAACCCTATGTCCTAAACCATCTCTCCAATGCAGAACTCCAGAAAGGAAGATCGGAGGTAATTATGCAGAATCCCTGAGAAAGCAAGGGCCGAGGGCCTTTAGGGTGTATTGAGTAAAGGTACTATGGGTCCTGTAGGGTTTGTGGTTTAGGGTGTCTAAATGTGCCTTGCATCGGGGCCTTAAGAATTAGACATTGGTTTTGGGGAGTAGATTCTACTATACATAGAATCAGGAGCCCCCCCCCAAAGAAAAAAAGAAGAGTATTGGTAAGTCTTGTAGCCCCTATGCTATGGGATTTCTGGGCATTGGGGCAGGTCCCTGAGCCCCTAAACCCCTCAGAATGGAGTCCCTAAGCCGTGTACACAACTGGAGTCTGGACTTTCATTGTACAGATGGCCTTGGGACGGCCCCTTTCTGGACTTACGACTGTCCTATGAACACATAAACCTAGGCAATAGGCAAAAAACTACATTGAAAACTAACTTCTCGATCATTGCCAGCCCTACTCCTGTCCTCAGATGGGTGGACGTCACAATGGCCTATGCCACGAATCCTGATTCTCCATTCTCGTTGCTTCGAACAAACCATACCACCACTCTGTAGCAGATGCACGCAGGGCAGCCACCGCTCGTCGACATTCAGACAAAGCGCTGAAAGCCAGAAAAGTTGGCTCTTAGGGCAGAGGCCCGAACCCTCAAGCCTGTCCCACACCAGGACACCCAACCTGCATTGAATATGGGCCATATTAAAGCAGGATCTCTGTTGAAAGATCGATTGAAAGAGAAACTGTGTCGAGTTTCGGGTTTGAGAGATTGTTGAAAAATCAAGTCTCATGGCGATTTAGGATTGAGGGTGTCGAGCCTTAGGGTACAGAGCTTAGCTACCATGTGGTGTGTAGTGCACCCAGAACCATCGAACTCACACTCATTTTTGCATCTGTCGCTTCTCCTTCGACTGGAGACGCATGGACGACGAGGCATATCTCGAGCAAGGCAAGCCCGGAACGAGGGGACACAGGACAGAACCATTAGAGATACTAGCTATGGCCACAGTCACAAGCAATGGCGATGGAAAAAACAGCCAGAAAAAGAGCAGGCCACGATATCTTCCTAGAACAAGGTTGAGGCCAGTGGGTGGAAGACACCCAGGACTGGAAGTTGTCCGTCACAACTCGCCGCCTGCGCCTGAAGCAATCCCAAATATTGAAGCTTACACCATGGATTCCAAACCTCAAACCCTTGAACATACATGCCTGGATCCTATGTGTGCTAGCTCTCCATGTTCCAAATCCCTCTGCATTCTCAGCCTATAGGCTGAACAAAGCCCACAGCTTACCAGCCTGGATGATCGGAAAAATCTCTTACGAAACCGGTTTGACAAGGCTCAAGGTCTCGTGTCGGCAAAGGACTGCCGTCGCCGCTGTAGTAAAAATTGCTTTTGTCGTATTCGCGGCTGTGGCGGCGTTGGCGGTAGCAGTAGTGGTGGAGTACAACTCGAACGTAGCACCCCCATAGTATTGCCGAAAAGCTAAATTGCTTCATTAGGCATCTACGAAAGAAAAAGTAGCAGTGCGGGCAGCAGCAATACAGCACCAGTAGAAAATGAATCCGTCGTAGTAGTAGTAGTAGTAGCAGCAGTAGAGGTAGTCGTAGTAGTAGTAGTAGTAGTAGCAGCAGCAGCAGCAGCTAGTTGTAGTACTAGCAGAAGTGGTAGTAATAGTAGTAGCAGCGGTACGAGCAGATGTCGTCGTCCTCCTCGTGACGGTTATAGCAGCGGACGCTCATGTAGGACTTGCAGTGCCTGCAGTCGTCTTAGTCTTAGTTGCGACGGCCGTAATAGCAGTGGCCAACTGCATCGTACTTGTAGCGGCAGTCACCTCAAGAACAGCGCAACAAAACTGATAGGCACAACCGACAGCAGCAAAACGAAGGAGTGTGCAGTAGGGTTGCAGTTTGGGCTTCCGGAGCTTTCAAAACTCTGGCCTCGCTCATGCCTCGATCCTTTCAGAATTTCAGAATAAGTGGTGCCCACCTTTGTCGCGAGCACCAGAATCGAGAACACGAGCGCTTTTTGAACCCGGAGGTGAGTGCAGGCTATTGCTGCGACTCACGCAATGGCCCAAAGCCAGAAACCACCGAGGGTGCCTCGCCTCCAACCGATACGACGTTACGATACCGAGCGACTGCCGGGTCTCTCTTTCCAAAGGCTGGGCACTTGGAGTCTCGGCGGCACCTGCGCGGGACAACGCCTGCAAAACCGACGCGATGTGGCAAAAGGCAACTCCTTTGTCCTTGCCACATTGAAGCTCCTGTGGTGCGGTACACGGAGCCGATGTTCATGTTTGTAAGACAAAAGTCTGTGGAAAACACGCCACTGCGAACACTCACACCGAAAAGCTGGAGCCTCAAGTGAGGAGATCTGACCCTGAGCATCACGTCAATCTGATACCAAGGCTTTACTTAGTATCTGTCTCGCCTCAGGAGGCCGCAAGACGATGAAGGATAACATAGGAGCCTGATTAA